TTTATAGTCTTGTCTGTGAGATCCCCAGTATGTTATAGTTGACTCCTTGTAAAGGAGTCAGGCTATACTGGAAGATCATGTATGCTTAGGTCTTAAGCACAGCTCATTCTATTCTAGCATCCTTATTTGAAAATATCTCTTATAAAAGGAAACTTGGGACTGGAGAGATGATTCAGTCTTGCAGAGGACCCGAGTTCAGTTCCCAGCACTCACACTAGACAACCCCCAACCACCTGTAACTCCAGTTCTGGGGGATCTGATGTCCTTTTCTGGACCCAAGGGCACCTGCATGCATGCGCACATACATGCCCACACATAGAGACACTAATGTTCACATAATGAAAAATAAAGGCCAGATGTGGTGGCATACACCTTTGATTCCAGCACTCCAGAAGGGAAGCAGAGATAGACCGACCTCTATGACTTCAAGGCCAGCCTGGTCTATGTAATGAGCTCCAGCCCACCCAGGACCACTTGTCTCAACAACAGTAATAAATCTTCAAAAATCAATACATAAAAGGTGTCTTGCCTTTGGAAGTGAGGGCACAGTGAAACCACTGAACTGGACCTCTCCATGGTAGACAGGTTGATTGGGGGTCAGACTATCAAGGCTATCTCTGGGTGGAGGGGGCAAAATGATGGGAAACCAGCAGACTTGATATGACAGTCAGCAGGGTGGGGTTCTTGAGCTGATACAGGCTGTTCCGATTGACCTGGACTAGATCCCCTGCCTGAGGTAGAGGACCTCTGGGGATGGATTAAGGGAAGTTGCTGGTAAACAGAAACCTACCCTTAGGCCTCAGTTTACCCAATAACATTCCTAACCTTGTCACAAGCACTGTCAGGTTGTTGTTTATTTGGGGGCGGGGGGTTGGGGGAACTTTGGACACAACAAAGTCTCCATGCTAGCAACCTTCACAGCCAATCCAATGCTGTTGGCTTCTGGAACTCTTTTTTTGTTTTTCCAAACATGGTTTCTCAGTGTAGCCCTGGCTGTCCTGGAACTCACTCTGTAGACCAGGCTGGCCTCAAACTCAGATATCTGCCTGCCTCAGCCTCCTGAATGCTCACCAGGCCTGGCTGATGCTGGAACTCCAGACTCTTGTCCTCCAGAGGCTTTAACCTAACTCCAGGTTAAGGGGCTCCCTTCCCTTCCACATCCCCATTTCTCTGTCCTGCCCCAGAGGTCTTCTAAAAGCCACAGCAGACAGCACCTGATTTGACACTCTAGGCTGGTCCAGAGCGGAGGGGTCAGGGTTCATTCAAGCACCCAGGACCCCTGCCTTGCTGGGGGCCCCCTCTTTGTGCGAGGCCCCAACTGGAGGAGCTCATTTCCCCATTTTCTTTCCTGGGGCTGAGAGTGCTCAGCGGGGCTGAGCCGCCCCGGGGTTATCAAAGCCACCACTTCCTCGCACAACCTGTAGCTATATTTAGAGCTACAGCCTCTCAGGCTCAGAGTCCGGGCGTGGCTGGGCCTGCTTCCTGAGCTGACATCCCCACCTGCTTCCTCTCACGCCTAGGCCAGAGGCACCTGCAAGCCGAGCTGCAGGCTGCACCGAGCACCAAACAGGCTCTCCTCCTCTTCACAGCCGCGTGAAGGGCCAGGTCCTTCCCAAGGGGGGGGGGCCTGCGGGCTCATCCCTTCCTCCAGGGTCCCCGCGTTTCCTGAGGGTCTTCTAGCCCCATGTCGTGGTAGACCCAGGGTAGAAGAATAACGCAATAGAGCCCCTGTCCACATGAGCCCTGAGCACTGTGGCGGGGGAAGTGGAAATTGAAACCACAGATGGCAATTTAAGAAAAAGCCGGGAGCTGGGGATGTGGCTCAGTTGGTAGAGGGCTTGCCCAGCACTCGTGAGGTCCCTGGGTTTGATTCCCTATGATGCATAAACCAGGCAGGCTCTACAGCTATAATCGCAGCGCCGAGGAGGTAGAGGCAGGAGGAGCAGAAGCTCCGTCATCTTTGGCAACAGCAAGTTTGAAGCCCAGCCGGCCTACAGGAAACCTTGTGCTAAGGGGCGGGGCAAGGCGGCTCTGCAGGTAAAGGCACTTGCCATCAAGCCAAGCTTCCTGAGTTTGAACCCAGGACCCACTGGTGAAAGGTGGGAAGTGATGCCCGCAAGTTGTCCTGACTCCATGTGCACATCGTGGCTTTACTTACCCGGTAAGTGAATAAATAAATGTTTTTAAAAGGATAGGGATCCCTGAGTATGTGGGAGGAGCTTGGGGAGAAGGGATAGCGGTGTGGTGTGGGGGGCATGGCTGAAAATCGGTCAACAAGCAGCAGACAGGTGGGTTCAGCCTGGAAAAGCCTCTTTGGGTCACCGGGACAGGAGTGACTCCAGATAGGGAGAGAGAGCCGCGCTGGCACCCTAAGGCTCCAGCCGTGGATGGTCACTCTGCTTGGTTAGGCCAGGGTGACAGCGGGAGGTAGGAGCAGAGATGGGGGTGTTTGCAATAGCCCGCGGGAGTCACTCTTGACACCAGTGAAGTCTGGAGATGTGCCTGTCACAGGCCAGGGACACAAGCACTCTGCATGGACCAGCACAGTCCCCAGCACAGGAAAAACTGGGGAGGAGCAGGTTGATATCAGGAGCGATGTTTGAACTCCTGAGTTCCAGGACAGAGCCGGGGAGGGCACTGGATCCCGGCAGATCCTGCTGAGTCCTGGAGTCTGGGGAAGGTAGGGCCACCTCTGGAAAGGTGGCGGGAGTGTGAGAAGGGCCAGAAGTGATTGCCGGCTATGCTGGCTGCCCGTCCGTCATCCCTGCTGTATCCCAGGTGCTCCTGAGCGGGGCCATGTGCATGAGTGTGTGGGTAACCAAAGTGTGCAAGACAGATGAAAGTCCTCCACACCTGGGTACCAGTGCCTTCCAAGACCTGGACAGTGCTCCAACCAGCATGGGCACCCCAAAGGGTGCATGCATGTCCACAGGACCTTGATCCGTTTTAATTCACACCCACGTGGTGGCAGGAAGCCACAGCAATGGTGGAGTTGGGCTGCAGCATGAGACAGACTTCGGTGAGGGGTGGGGGTGGGGTGGGGGTGGGGTCCTGATCACCCAGCACCTGGCGCACAGGTGACTATGGAAGAAAGCACTGTTGTCACTGGAATAAGCCGATGGAGTGGGCTGCTCTGATCTGGCCTGGGGACTTCCAGGAGGTGGGTAGGATGGAAGTCCCTGGATCAGGAAAAGCGTCTAGCACTCTTGTCCCACTGGATTTGCTGATCCAAGAGCTGATCCAGGGTCCTCTGGATGGTGTGGCTGGGGTGGGGGCTGGGGTGGCTACTTGGCCCCTTCCCTGCGGTCCTGCCCTGAAGGCCTTTCCGTAGGCTCAGGGGGTTGAGACACACACCAAATGACCTGGTGGAGGTTGTTCCCTGATCACTACACACACTGTGGTGTGCCCCCCCCACACACAGATAGAAGCAATACATGAATGAGTAGATACATAAATGTAAGAAAAATCTAATGACATTTCCTTACAGGGCACCCTGACCTGTGACATCGAGAGACGTGGCCCAGAGGTCACGTGAGAAACCGTGGAGGCGAGCAAGCTGTGCACGCTGAAGGAAGAGGGCCAGCTGTTCTGTCACTCAGAAGAGGGCCCCGCCCCATGCTGTTCATATCAGAAGTAAAAATACCCAAGATCACAGACTTACAAGCCAGATTCTGAGGCTCCACCTGCCGGAATCTGACAGGCGCCATGAAGCTTCCCAGCTCTGTCTGGCCCAGTCCATCACCATGTGGCAAGTGTCCCAGCCAAGGAGGCGACTCAGGAGCAAGTGTTCTGAATGGTGCTATATAAAAACAGGAGAGACAGCGGGGGTGGGGGTGGCGGCGTACGCCTTTATTCCCAGTACTTGGGAAGCAGAGGCAGGAGGATTTCTGTGAGTTCGAGGCCAGCCTCATGAGACCCTGAGTTCGAATCCCCAGGTCTCGTGTAAAAAGCCGGGTGTGGTTTCACATGGGTCCCTGAGGTTAGACAGTTGGGCTCCAGGTTCAGTGAGAGACCTTGTCTAAAAAATAAGGTGGACGATGATAGAGGAAGACACTAAAGGGCAACCTCTGTGACCTTCACATGTGTATTTACACACCCACGTAAAACAAGAAAAATCAGGAGGGGAGGAAATGAAAAACCCAGAACCCTCACTCATGTCTCTATGGCCCCCATACTGTTTACAGCGCTGCCCTGGCTGGTTACTATCGTCCGTGAATATTTATTTATTATCTTCTTTTTAGTTTTTGGAGAAAGGGTCTCCTGTAGCCCAGGCTGGCCTTTAACTTGATAAGTAACTGAGGATGACTTTGAACTTCTGATGTCCCTGCCCCGCTTCCCCTGTGTGTGGTACTGGGGGTTTACCCAGAGCTTCGTGCATGCCGGGCAGCCATTGGCCAACTGACCACACCCCCAGCTCTGAGCTGACGGCCTTCAGCCCCTCCTTGGTCTGTGTCCTTTCTAAGAGCCCCATTCTGCCGACGACCAGATGACATGGTCGAGCCAGGGTTGGAACCAGGCAGGCAGTCCCACGGGTCCTCCTGACACAGAGTCCTGCACCAGGGAGACACAGACAGCTCTGAGAGGGTGCTGTCACCAGGAGACCCCTGGAAACAAAGGGCCCACAGGCATGCCCTGGCCGGGAACTCCAGAACGTGGACATCACCATACCTGGGGACCTGCATTTGGTGGTGGGTTCAGAGGGGCCTGGGCCCATCACTGACCCAGGCGGCTCTCTGCTCCCCACGGAAGCAAGTCCGCATCCTTCACATGGGGGGCCGACAGCTGGGGGATGTGCTCACACTCAGGGTTCCCCTTGTCAGTGTCTAGGCTGTAGGGTTGTCCACACAGGAGGAGAGTGGGGTGCCAGACCCCACAGCCTGAAGACAGCTGTGACCCCAAAGGTGCTCTAGAACAGGGCACACTCTCCATGGGCTCCCTGGCCTCTTACAAAGGGGACAGGCGGGGACAGTTCACACGGGGGCTGGAGAATTTCCTCTTAGACACACTCAGGTCAAAGGAAACCAAAGTGAGAGCCGACGGTGTTGGCCAAACCCCTAAAGGTTCCTTCCGGGTTCAACTTTGGGACCTGTGGCTAAAGCCAACTCAGGCACTGGCAGGGTGGCCCAGGAGGTGGGCCTCCACCTCCCTCACCCCTGCCGCTGTTCCCTGAGGCTGAGTGGCTGAACCCCTCTCTTCCCTCTCCTCCCCCCTCTTCCTCATCTCCTCCTCCCCCCTCCCCCCTTCCCTTCTGCCTTTTTCCAGCACGCCTCCCCCGACAGCTGAGCCCCAAGAGCATCAGCTCTAATAACAGCCTCCACACCCCATCCCTGCGCCTGTCTTGCTGGGGGGCTTTCTTCATGGAGGGGTGGGCTGCCTAGGGTGAGTGCCTCCCTTCCCAGCAGGACCTGGCCACCTCCAGCAGGTGCCCTGGCTGCACATGTCAACTAAGTCAGAATGGCTGGTGGAGGGAGGGCAGCCTGGACCTTTGTCCCCTCAAAGTGCCCTGCTCCTCATTACAGCCCCCCTGCACGTACCCTGCCCCACAGACCCCTCCACTCCGGTGGTCCTGACTTTGTGGGTGAGGCTCACACATTGTGCTTTGGTCCCCAGGCAGGTGCTGCAGGGCCATGGGCCATGGGGGGGGGAGCTGGGGGTGGAGGGGGAGACTGGGGTGACAAGTTTAACCTCGCCACTCTGGCGGCCCCCTGTGGCCTGTGGGCCAGATGCCACTGCCACCGTCGGTTGGTACTGCTAAAGCTGCCATAAGACACCTGGGGTGGGATGGGAGCGGTTGTGGCCCTACAGACTCTACTACAAACCCGCTCCCTCAGAGCACCAGCTCTAGTCTCTCCCCTCAGATAGGATGCTGCTTCTGTTCAGAGGGCAGCCCCAGGCTGGGCTTCTCTGTTACGTTCTCTGTTGCCGCTGTGACACACACACACAGTGCCCAGCAGGTGCCTGGTGGGTAGCAGAGATTGTCCCCAGAGGAGGTCTGTTTTGGGGACCCTTGGTAGATACAGCCCTTGGGGGACTACTAAACCTGTGATGCCCCCTTCTGGTCAATCTCTAAAGTTGGAGGCCCAAATCTTCATTTAATAACTATAAGCTGTGTGACCCGGGGCAGCTGTGTCAGCCTCTCTGGGCTTTGTTCTCTGTGTGCACATGGTAGCAGGCCCTTCTCACCAAGATGCACAGGTACTCAGGAAACACCTGGTGTCCAGCAAGCCTGGCTACTTACTTCTATGTCCCTTAAAAATGGTCTACCAGCCCAGGGTCCCAAGTGTGCTTCAAGCCATGGAGCCTTGGGTCTCAAAAGCAGGTTTAGGGGACTCTAACTCTAGGGGACAGGTGCTGTGGCCACCTCCTAGGCCTGCACCCACGGCACAGCAGTTCACTGTTGTGCAGCCACATCTGGAGCCAGAGATGGTGGGCGGCCACTTGGTCTCTTTCCCGGGCCAGGAACCTAGCTGTCTCCTCCCTTCCCCTAAGCTACAGCCGGGCTGGCCAGGACAGGTGACAGACAGACACTTTGTTTGCCCAGAAGGGAGGCTTTCTTGGGAGATGTCCCAGCAGGTTGTCAGGCAGTTGAAGGAGAATGGTGGGGGGTCCAGGGGAGACAGCAGGTGGGAGAAGACCCGCCCCCACCTGCAGCGGCCCAGCCAGTACAGCCTCCAGCAGCCTCTGTTCCTGGCCGGACCCTGGCTCCAGACAAAGCAAAGGGAAGTATCCCTACCCTGTCTCATCCCTTGTGGGGCCTCAAGTGCCTCTTTGGCAAAGAGGGGATAAGGTCACCCTATCCCTACTAGGGATGAGGGAAATAGTGAGAAACCACCCAGAACCCAAAGAATTGAAGACGGAATGCATGGTCTGATGACATTGCTGGGTCCCCTGCTTCAGGTCCGGCTTCCTACTGCTCCCAATGGCACCCAACTCCTGGACAGATGCCATGGCTCCTGTGCCTCTGTCTACCTGCCCCCTATTCATCCTGCTCCCTCAGCTCCAGCCACATTGTCCACACTGGACCCAGCTTCCCTGCCTCAGGGCTGTCTTCTGCCTGGAACACCAGCCCGCTCCTAAGTCCAGCTCCTACTTATTTTGGGGTCTCAGATTAAAAGTTACTTACGTGAGCCAGGTGGTCGTGGCTCACGCCTTTAATCCCAGCACTCAGGAGGCAGAAATAGGTGGATCTCTGTGAGTTCGAGGCCAGCCTGGTCTATAAAGTGAGTTCCAGGGCTACACAGAGAGACTCTGTCTGGAAAAACAAAACAAAAGTCCCCTACATGGGGGCCTTCTCTGCAGTCTTACTTGAAGCAGTGACTCTCGGGCTGGGTTGCTGTGACTGCTGTCCCAGGCTGAGGATGATGTTGACCTGAACACAGGACACTCACACTCAGTGTGATTGGTCAGGGGGCAGGCAAACACTCTGGCAAGTCCTTGGCTAGCATGTGTAGGGCCCTGGGTTCAATTCCCGGAACCAAACAATAAAAAACAAACCCTTTTCTTCTGGCCTCAGCCCCCCCCCTTTATCAGGGCCCCCAAGGAGCTCGGGGTCTTCCTTTGTCACAAAAAGGTGACAAGTCCTCTGGTGTGGCCGGCTTGTGCTTAGACCTGGGGTTCAGAAGCTCAGTCACAGGCACCACACCTGTCCTACATCCTTGGGAACTCCCTTTCCATGCAGACAGGCGCATCACCCCTCCCCCTCACAGGAGGGTCCTAGGAGCCAAAGCTGGGTCCATGCCCTCTGCCTGGTGCTGCACTTGCTGGGGCAGCTTCCCAGGAGAGGAGACTCCAGCGTACCTCAGAACTGTCAAACAATGTCCCTGCCAGGTCTTTACAAGAATCCAAGGCTTCAGTGCCCAGTGCCAAGCACTCACTTAAGACAATACCTCTGCGGCTGTGGGTCTGCCCGGCGCCGCTGTCTCTCCTCAGCCTTATATAGGCAAAGGCCAGGGAATCCCTGTCCAGGTCTGGGATGGAGTCCCAGGGGACCCACCTGACCCTAGAGCTCCCACCTCTGAATATGCCAACCCCTGGCTGGGTGGTTGAGGGTGGCTGCCCATCTGGCAGCACTGGGGCCAGCCCAGGACTTTCTGGAGTCCCAGTGACCAGACCAGCGCAGGGTCTTACCAAATAAGGCCTGAGTAGCGGGGCCTGGCCAGGCTCTGCAGCTGCGCACCCTGCCTCCAGCGCTCACCCAGCAGAGATCTCCTCACTACTGGGTCCAAGAGCCTCCTGCGGTGGCACCCAGTGCTCTTCTGTATCCCCTCCTAGAGGAACTTCCAGTTGGAAGCTCTGGAATGTTCCCCCGGAGCCCCTCGAGCAAGGAGGTGCAAGGGTCCTGGGGTCCTTGGCTGCAGCAGGGACCTCAAAAATGGCTGAGTCACACCCCCACCTCCCAAGCACGCACAGGCCCTGCTCCCACATGTCCTGGGTTAGCACGAGCACTCCGTGGGTCAGCCAATTCCCAGTGTCTTGATGGTAGGGACTGGGGTGAGGTTTGCCAACGGACTTGGACGGGGCCAGCTGAGGTCTCTGGTCCCACTTGTGTCTGCAGTGGGGAGGGAGACAATGGGAGAGGGCACCGGCCGTCAGCTGGCCTGGGCCAGTGAGGAAGACCCGCCCACAGGACCCAGGTGAGGCCAGGTGGCCTGGGGCCAGGGGTGTATCAAGAGTTCCTTTGGGCATGGAATTCCTTGCCTGCCTATCTCAGTTCCTGCAGGTAACTCTGCTTCCTGGAGCCTCAGTTTTTCCTTCCTTACAATGGGCAGATCTAAAAACCAAGTAGCCAGCAGAGGGGGGGATCCCCTTTTCCTGGGAGCTGGGGGCGCAGGGACTCTCCGGTTTGAGATCACCCTCTGCACCTCTTTACCACTCTCCAATCTTCTCATGGTCACATGGTTCTAGAGAGATGTGTCGCATCTCTCTGACACTCCTAGACAGGAAGTGTGTGGGTAGCAGTGGTACTGCTGTCCTACTGCTTGTGTGAACCTGTGTGTGTGTGTGTGTGTGTGAAAACCTGTGTGTGTGTGCATGTGTGTGTCTGTACGTCTGACCTGTGTCTGTGTGTGTGTGTCTGTGTGTGTGTGTTTGTGAGAACCTGTGTGTGTCTATATACATCTGTATGACCTATGTATGTCTGTGTGTGAACATGTGTGTGTGTTTGTGTGTATCTGTGTATATCTGTGTGACCTGTGTGTGTT